GAAGGATGAGTACTCTAACTGGTCCATCCGAATGAGCGTCTGAAGCCGGAGGGGAATGTTCTCAGGCAGAAGGGTGCGTCTCTGGGGTATAAATGCCCCCGTGCTAGCAAGGAAATCAGCGGGCCGATTCCCCTCTCGGAATATGTGTGAGACCTGGTAATGGATCGAGCGAAGGGTGTATCTGATACGCATAAGAGGATGTTGGATCTGCCATGAGTCCTGATGGCCAGATGTCAAAAGTGTGATGACAGCCGCAGCATCCATCTCTATCCAGACATGAGAGGAGATCAGTGCGGCAATCTCAAGACCAATCTGGAGCGCCTGAATCTCTGCATCATAACTGGAGGAGGCCCGAAGCGGCCCATGGAAGGCAGAGATGAGTGTCCCACCATGATCCCTAATCAGGCCCCCTCCTCCAGCAGCTCCGGTATGTCTGTCGAAAGCGCCATCAGTGTTTAGCTTAACCTAAGGGGCCTTGGGTTTCAGCCAAACAACGATCCTAGGTCGTGGATGCTGGACAGGTAAAGGAGGTGGTGGCCTCAAACGACGGGGTGGCGTACACCCTGTCCAGTCTCTCGTCGTGAGTCTACCCAGGGCGGTGAGGAGAGATGTGTCTGTCAACCTGCAAAATAATGTGAGCACAAGAAAATATAATATCTCTATGCTTCGCATTATTCCTTTCTGTCCAGGTGGCCCAAAGGATCAGACAAGGAATAAGGAAGCCCACGTGTCTACTGTGTGTGCGGTGAGAGAAAAAACTCAGAAGCTCAAAAAAACTGTCTGTAGTGGGTAGGGGTATATGAGTATATCTGGCATAATGCTCCCACACTCTCCTCACAGTCTCACTCTCAAGAAAAAGATAGGTGAAAGTCTCGATCTCAAAGGTACCGGTCTCAACACAACAATAGCAGCGGGAGGGGAAGGAGAACCCTCTCCTCTGCATCACAGTGTCAATGGGAATGCGCCGTAATAGGAGGCGCCACAAAAAGACGGAAATGGTCGGGGTGATAAGGTCGGTCCATATGGCCCCGAAGAGGCGGTTTGGCCGGTTGCCCAGCCTCACATCTCCCCAGGCTGAAGACGTAGAGAATGCACCCGAAGATGTAAATCTCCACCTCATGCCATCCAAACCTTCCTCCAAAATGGGAATCTGTCGGATCTGGTCAATCTCTAGACTACTAAAACCCCCACCCTCACCAAGAATATCATCCATCTTATCTCTATCCCAAAAACTTCCCGTCTAAAGGTCCTTCACCTGCATGAAAGGTAGGTGAGTCACAGGCCTAGTACTCGAGAGAGGGGCCTCGCCGAACCACCACTCATCCCAGAAGCTAACCTCCCCATAGCCCAAGGTCCAAAAAATGTGCTCCTGAGCACGCCTGCCAACAGTGGTGAGCCGTCTCCACTGTCGACTATCCCGAGCGGTGGCTGTCACCCTGCAAGGATGGGCAGCACCACCAGGGCAATATTTCCTCAGGAAGTACTGGGCCCAAAGGGACTTTCCCTCCCTAAGGCGCCACCACATCCTGTAGGAAAACGCAGTAACCATATCAGAGAAACGCCGAAACCCGAGCCCCACCCTCAGAGTGGGGACGACAGATGGAGTCCCACTTCACCCAGTGGGTCTGCCGCCGACCTCGCGAGCCCTCACCATAGCTCCAAAAATAGCGGGCTAAGATCTGATCTAACTCATGAATCGTAGACTGGTAGGGGTCAAGCACCGCGAGAAAGTGAAGAGGGAGGGCACAAAGAGTGCTCTTGATCAGAGCAAGTCGACCTCCGAAGGATAGGTGTCTATGTGACCAGCCAGAAATTCCGTCAATCATCCTCTGACGGACGTCAATGAAAAGCTCATGGGAAAGATGGCCTTTGTACAACGGGACCCCAAGGTAAGGGATGGGTAAGTCTCCACGAGCAAAACCAGTGCACTCGTGAATCTGGTGAGCCCAATGATCTGCAACGTGGTGGTCCATGATAAAGGTACTCTTACTAACATTGACTTGCTGGCCAGATGTCTCACTGTAATGGTCCAACAGACTCATGAGAGCTACTAGCCCATTATCATTCGCACGAGTGAAAATGATAATGTCATCCGCGTAAGAAAGGTGGAAAATGGGAGGCCCACAGCCACGCGTGCTGTAGGTCATCCTCGGGAAATCTCGAATGAAGCCGTCAAGGCAGCGAGAGAGATAGTCAGCCACCAGAACAAAAAGGAAGGGGGATAAGGGGTCCCCTTGACGAAGGCCACGGGTAGAAGGGAAAAAGGTCGTGGGGCTACCATTAATCAAAACGGAGAATATGCAGTGCTCCACACACGCCTCCACAAAGCTAACCCAACGTTAGGAAATCCCATCCGAAACAATACCTCTCTGAGAAACGACCACTCGACCCTATCATATGCTTTGGCCATGTCTAGCTTCAGCACGAGATTCGGGGTTCGTGTTCGATTCGCATGAGAGATGTCATGTATCATCTCCTGAGCCAGTAGGATATTATAACTAATGACTCAATCCTTGATGAATCCACTCTGGTTCGGAGAAACAAGGTGGGGGAGGAGAGGGGCGAGGCGACCGTTTAGGATTCTAGAAATGATCTTGTTAGTCACGTTGCATAAGCTGATAGGTCTATAGTCAGACCAAGAACTAGGTCCCGATCTCTTCAGGATCAAAATGATGGAGGCTGCCGTGAAGTACTCTGGCATCTGGTGGCCAGAGAAAAAATCCCTCACAGCTTCCTCTACGTCAGTACCCAC